CTCCGCCAGTTTAGTCCACCGATGTTTTTTTTTTTTTGGGGGGGGGGGAGGTAGTTGCGCATTGCAGGCGCATGTCGCACAAACAAATGACAGACCAAATCCATCCTTAAACCACGGTAATGGGAACCACAAGTTGATAAAATGTCAAACGAAACCATAGATACATCCATTACCTGGACGCCAAGTTTCATCTTGACCTTTTGCAAACTGAAGTCGAGGAAGGCAATTTTTGCGTTTTTCACTGAACGGGGCATCTGCTGACTGGCTACGGTGCAGTTGAGGGCGTAGCCCTTGATGAACATGCTTTCTGACATTGAACGACCATGTGCTTTTAGAACATTGATCGACTTCACCGGATAAACCAATCCTTTGGGCCCGTTTATTCCAACAGCGGTCACAGCTTCGACAACCATATCGGCAAACATTTCCGCATCTCTGAAGCAGGGAATAACCATTGGGTCAATCAAATATCTCTTAATCAGGGAAACTGAAAATAACGAGGAATTCATTCGAACAATTGCGTTTCTTGTACAGTTTTACAAGATCCTAGGGCGATAGAAGTTGGACGTTAACCATATTAATATAGCGAGGTATTCACGTTCCTACACCGGGGCCCAGAGGAAACATACATTAAACACGCAGAAACCAAACACCATTTCGACAGAGCTTCTGAATAGATTTTGCTAATCTTCCCGGGTAATTTTAAAGAATCAAACAAAAAACGTCTTTACAGGACCCCACTTAACTTTTGGCCACCTTGTCCACATTTCCAAGCAATGACTCAGAACACATCCAGACTCACGAAACCCAAATCAGTGCGGATGAAGTTGAAAGTACTATTGCATGGTTTGAAGTTTAAGCTTTCACCAAAGATTCAAAAAATCAGTACGGAAATGTAGTTCGAATAAAAGTATGACCAAAAGGAGGAGATCGCACCCAGATCCAAAGAAGCTGGATGGTTCAGTGGTGGATTAGTCGACAGTCCACACTAGTAGTTATCCCTTCCGATCCAGCAACAAGGCCGTATGAAGTTTGGTCAATATACAGCAAGTGAAACAAAACATCGATTACTCCCCCAGCGTGACGAAGGGTCAGTTATGGTCAGTAGGAAGGGATGAATTGTATGTTACCGTACTTGATAGCTCTCCGGAAAATAACCAACTTGTATAGAAGAAAATCGTTCAGATGTAGCACTCTTTCGGCGCCTAACTACTATGCCACCAAAAGGTATCACGAGGGCTGGGTTACTGTCAGGTTGCCCAAGCCTAGACAGGGGAAGTCACGAGATAGAAGTCGGGTTCGAACCATGGACCTACGGTCAGTAAATTAGCGCTCCAACCATCGAGCGATCTCGTCCCTGTAAAGGAACTGATCACCACAAGGTTGAGAATTCTAAAACTTCATGGTTACAACACAAAGGTGGAATATCAATGCCTGAGACCATAACTATATGTAGACTCGATGCCCTCAGAGTACGGTACTCCTCTAATACAAACTATATGCACGAAAAGTCCAGTTTACCATAGAGTTGCACACTGATTGTGAAAATGCTGAGCCCTGCATGCAAAATTTTTTCTCTGCTCGTTGTTTGAAGACCTCTTCTGAACACACACACAATCTAGATAATATAATGGAGCGTTCTCAGGAGTTATCTTCCATTGATGTTGACTGGTTATTCGCCTGTGGACTCATACGCGATAAAGAGAGCTCTTGTAAGTTCATTCTCCAT